TTTGTGGTCTCGTTGAAGATCTCGAATTCTTAATCTTTAGCGTGGAGATAGTGCTGCTTAACAACTTCACCTCTCTTTTGTTGCCTTCAGAAAAGCCGTTTACTGCAATCGGGCCAATTTATTTCGAGTACGGTTCACTTGTGATTACGTTCAATACAGCGAAAGCAGCTACCTCGGCTGTGCAGCGCCTTCAAAATGCGGTTTATGAAGAAAAGAAATTAATTGTCCTTTGTCTTCCAAATGTTCAGGTTAATTTTCTTCAAAAATTTGTGGCTCCATCTTAGCGTCATTTAGATGCCTTGAAAAAGATTAGCCAAGGAATGTTTTTTTTTCTGGTGCAATTTTCATAAATGTAGTTCTCTATTCTCAAGACTGCCCTCCAAACGCTGGACTTGTGGTTAGGATAGGCAGGGAATGAAGAGGAAAAAAAGGAAAAAACTGAGGAGCTGAGAGGTGAAAGAGGTAAGAATTTCTCAACAAGAAACCTCAAAATTTCATCCTATTTAGTGTTCTTGAGTTGTCGAGCCTACCACACAAAAATCACAAAACTATCCTATAACTTTTGCGAGCGAGATTGTGAGTAATTTCGCTGTTACTTTGCAGCCACATATGCTGTTGCCGGATTGCGAGCCACTTCTGGTACTTGTGAATGTGAAAAGTGGTGGATGCCAGGGTGGCGAGTTAATCAAAGCTTTCAGACGACTTTTGAATCCTTTCCAAGTGTTCGATGTTTTAAAAGGTGGCCCATTAGTTGGGTAAGTCTTTTCATTTATTTCCACGAATACTTTTTTCCCTTTCAAAATGTTGGATTTTCTTCTCCCCGCATTCACACCTATTTCCTTTGTTCTAGATTTCACCTAAATTCCAAATTACTTGCGATATTTCTGAAATCTGTTACTTTTTGCAGATTATACGTTTTTCGAAATGTTCCAAAATACAAAATATTGGCATGTGGTGGTGACGGTACAATTGGATGGGTTCTACAGTGCTTAGATATCGCTAAACAGGTCACAAAATTTCCGACTTTTCTCGACCAATAAATCAATTAAAAAAATAAAGCTGCAAAATGTTTTACTTTTTCAAAATGTAATCGTTCCCAGGTGGGCACTTTCGGCTCAGTAAGGTCTAACGACAGCATTATCAACCTCGTGCTGATTGCCTAAGCATTCTTTGTATTCTTGATTTTGCACTTTCTCAAATTCCTTCCTAAATTTGGATCATTTGAACCAAATTTGACCCGTTTGAGATATCTGAAAAGGAATAGTAAATGTATTATAGCATGTCCGAGAAATGCACATTTTTGCAGGATGCAGCATGTTTCTCGCCTCCGTGTGGTATTGTTCCGTTAGGTACCGGTAATGATCTGGCAAGGGTTTTACGTTGGGGTGGTGGATATACCGGTGAAGAGAATCCAATGGATATTTTGCGCGATGTTATTGAGGCGGAAGAAGTACGCTTAGATAGGTGCGTGCATACCTGTCGACGTCACTGGATGTTTTTATTGATTTTTGTATTTTTTTT